CGATCGTATCTCATAGGCCGATATCGCTTTTAGCGCCGCTTGGCTATCGCTGAGTATTGCGATACTCTTATTCCGATAGTTGCGTTGGAGATTTATTACTGCGCACTGACTTATGGCAAATACTTCTGCCTGAAAAATGCTTGGAAAACTGCCCATGGGAATGGAAAGCTTGGTGTGCGGTCCCGCAATGCCAGCGCCAATTCCTTCTGGTGTTTTCGAGCCGTCAGTGTACCACTGAATAGTGCTACCTCTCAGCAGTTGGTCAAGTGTGGAATCGCTCCAGTTCGCCTTACTGCCGAGAGTAACTTTAAACTTTTTCGTAAAGTTTACTCTCTTCGTTATACCGTCTCTTGGAAGGAGGGCCAGTGGCGTGTTATCTTCTAAGGCCCTCATTTGTTGAGACGAGATTAACTTCCCTTTACCATACCCCTCTGCTGTCATAAGCAGCATGGTATGCTTCGCTTCGTTTGGTTCCTTTAGCTTCGGTAGCATTTTACCAACAATGGCAGCCTGAGGCGCCGCTTTAATCGGTACGAAGCTGTCAATAGCGTTTGTAATTTTCTTATTGTTTGCTTTGAGGCCAGATTGTTCTACTGTATTTGCAAGTTGTTCTAGTTGAACTCCCATTACCGTAGATTGCGGACTACCAAGCAAGTGTTAATTCATAAGTACCTTAAATGACTCTCCAGCAGAGTAGGTTCAAGTCTCCTCCTTCTGTCTTTACATATGAAATATTGGTGCGTTTTTTGTACTGCGTCCTAACAGATTATTTGCAAGTTTCTATTTATAGGTGGAAGGACTCCACGAGTCTGCCTTTACCTTCGTGACTGCTTTTTTGTGTTGCTTAATGGTATCTTTTTATGGTACGGGTTTCTATATTGGAGCGGAGTACCGAAATTCTCGCGAATGCTGAAGAATATCCAGGAGTGATCCGACATATATAGCTCCTCGGACACCCTCCAGTCATCGACGACTAGGCTGCCTATCTCTGTTGATAGAGTGATCTTCAAAATTTCTTCCTATCCCGAAAATCTTTCCGAACTTGGGAATATGAAAGTTGGCTTATTCCTCTATTACATATGTATACTTAAATTGCTGTTTAGAAAAAAAGGAAAGTTTCTCACCTCTGATGTTTGTACTCACTAAATAAATACGTCAGAAGCAATAAATTTCACTGCTAAGATGGTTCGGAAGGCTTTCATCGGAGACGGTGACAATTCCAAAATGAGAGTGGTACTGTCTACCTTAAGGTAAAATCCAATACCTCTTGAACAACCCAACCAATTTTAACCAAATTTGGTAAATCGTATTATCCTGACATTCTTATGTTACGTTATGAAAATGGGCTAAATCGGCCCATTCGCCTACTTATCGCAAATTTTAGTACAATGAAATAAAGCCTTGCAATGCAGTGCCTATGGTTGACTTTTTTTCACCGAAAATGCCATTAAATTTGTGAGCTATACGAGTTTTATTGAAATTAAGAGATGATCATTGCCTTTTAATAATGTGCTCTTGTGTCGAAAATCGGCTCTGGCTGACCGATATATGTACATACATTGGTCAATATGTGAAGTAATGAAATTCAGAGAATTCAGAGAATATTTTAAATTTTCACTTAGTTTGAAATTACCAGATACATATATAACAGCTATTTATTCCAAATTTAGTTAAACATTCGCGAAATTGCAGTTACATTTCCAAAAACAGAAATTTGAACCATGATTTGATTACACAAGTTAATAAAAAAAATATTTTTTAACATGGGTTTTACCTAATATATTCTATTTAAATAAGCAAATATATATGGAAAAGGGCGATTACAAATCGAAAATATTTTCTTTCTAAGCAAGTTTCGGACCCATATGACGTGGGTCTTCGCGCGCGCTTACTGTCGAAATAGAGAATAGAGCACGGGTGATAGTGTTACTTGCATCGCTGCTTGTATAGGATAGTATGTGTTTGCACATTGCAGAGGAATAACGTGTTTCATAATTATGTTTTTTTATGGGCTCCACATGTGTCGTGTAACTCTTGCAGATATTTTGTATAGTGTGTTTATTTCCTCTTTTTTATAATAATTGTTAACTATTTTGATAACATTAATTAGGTTATATTGGATGGTTCACTAAGTAATTTAGTTTTTTTTTAGTGTAATTTAAATACGATTTTTTTGTAGTATAACGTGAACAGTGGCTTAGAAAAATGTTTATCTCTATCAAAGAGGCCATTCAGGAGGAACTTGACTAACCTCTGCGGCGCAAAAGATAACTCAAACCTTATTTAAATCTTTATATCTGGGAAATGTCAAGAAATGTATTTTTGAACCACATGCATGATGTGTACAAGTATGTACACGCAAATATATGAAATTATTAGTTAACTTTTAAGTAGAAAATCACTAATTCTTAAAAGTAGACGAAGAGGAAAACGTATATATAAGTATTTCTTAAATATACTGATACAAAAACAGTGCCGTGAATATCTTATTCTCCATAACACTACATATAGTATTTCTCCGCCCTAAGTTTGCTAGATTTGTTCGAAATTTTTAAATATTTATATTATTTGTAACAAATTATTATATCTCTCACACCGGATTTCGGATTTTTAAAAGCAATTTTCTACAAAATTTAAGCCTTATCCCTTCTGAAACGTACTTGATCTTATAAAACAAATGTGTACAAATCGATTTTTATAATACATTTAACAATTTTTTAACGGTTTTGACTTACTTCAAGTTGGAAATGGCAACAGTTCTAATAAAGGTAATCCAAATCAATCATTAATGAAGGATTTTTCTGTTTTTCTGAAGACATACAAGTTGGCAAAGAATTGGTAACTATGTATGTTTTATGTGTAAATCGTAATCATCTTCGAAATCACGATGCGATCGTTTAATCATCCACTTACTCGTATATTGACTACAAATAAAAGAAATTCTTTAAGAATGACTCCAAAAATTTAACGACACATTTTCCATCTCGTTTCATTTAACCTTTTTCATTATAAACTCATAAATTAAGTTTATTTTTGAACTTTCCAAAAGTGTTAACGTTTTTATACTGCAACCTGTTGCTACAGAGTATAATAATTTGTTCACCTAACGGTTGTTTGTATCACCTAAAACTAATCGAGTTAGATATAGGGTTATATATATATATAAATGATCAGGATGAAGAGACGAGTTGAAATCCGGGTGACTGTCTGTCCGTCCGTCCGTGAAAGCTCTAACTTGAGTAAAAATTGAGATATCTTTATGAAACTTGGTAGACATGTTTCTGAGTACCGTGAGACGGTTGGTATTGCAGATGGGCGTAATCGGACCACTGCCACGCCCACAAAACGCCATTAATCAAAAACAAATAAATTGCCATAACTAATTTCCGCAATAAGATACAAAGCTGTTATTTAGTACACAGGATCACATTAGGGAGTGGCATCTGCAGTTAAAATTTTCTTTTTTAAGTGGGCGTGGTCCCGCCCCTAATAGGTTTAATGTGCATATCTCCTAAACCACTAAAGTTATAATAACAAAATTCACTGGAAGTATATGTGTTTAGTACTTCTATTGACGGTTTGAAAATGGGTGAAATCGGGTGATAAGCCCGCCCACTCCCCATATAACGGTACTGTTAAAAAATAATAAAAGCGCGATGAACCAAGCACTAAACACGCCAGAGACATTAAATTTTATCTCTGGGATGTTACGAGATGACTTTATAGGAACCGCGTTCAAAATTAGTCAGTGGGCCACTTTTAGGTGAAAACCCATATCTTGGGATCTGCTTAACCGATTTCAACCCAATTCGGTGCATAACGTTTTTATATTTCTATGTTATAGTGCGAAAATGAGCGAATTCGGACTACAACCACGCCTATTTCCCATATAACACTTGTCCTTCCTTACTTGTTGTTTCTAATTTACAAACAATTTGACAGTTTTTCATGTTGCCTCTTCCCATTCTATAATATAATATATGACGACATCCTTAGTCTTCACTCTTTTTTAATGACCTTTATTAATATCCCTATTTATAATAACAACAGTAACGAGAAAGGGATACAACGGACGCTTTCAAAAACCTTTTTAAGGAGGTATTCTAGTCTAGAGACATGAATTTTAGTTAATTTTCAAAGTGTCATAAAAACAAAAAGGCAATTAATATTTTTACCATCGATTTTTTATCAATTTTCCATTAATGTTACAAGAGAACAGAAGAGAGAAGGACTCAAAGAATTGGCACATGAGTATACCCATGATTTCAACCCTAGTAGTCATCTAAAATGAAAAAAAAAAGTTTTTAAACCGCAATGATGTCGCAATTGTATGAACTAGCGATAAGTAAAAAAAAAAAATGTTTGTCAAAATAACGACTGTTGCAAAAAAAAAAAGATTTTTTTACCATTTTTTTCTTGTATTTTAAAAAATAGTAAAAATTGAAATTTGGGGATGATGATGGTATATAAAAAAGATTCTCTGAAAATTTCAAGTAAATCGGTTCAGGAGAACTCGAGAAATCGTGGGTTTCGTATTGAAGATCTAGTCTGAGAAAAACACGTTTTCGTAAAGTTCTTTGTTCGATTAGACCCAGCCGAACCAGTTTGGAGGCCGGGTCAGTAAAATGTCTGTATCTCCGAAAATAATAATAAATTTTCAAAAATCCTCTCGTAGGCATATTCTTAAATAGCTAAACTTTGAAGAAGACCTTCTTAACAACATGTAATTTTAGTATATATAAATATTGTATATAATACAATGGTTATGATAAATATTGTAACAAACTTTCTAGAATCGCTATCGATATCAAATGTAAATGAATAATAAAAAGGCAAATAGAGACCTTGCGGTTTTACTAACAAAGAAATTTTGTCGAGAGGTCGATAAAGCTGCTTATTTTTTAAATTTGTGTGCACAAAATTATTTGAGTCATTTCACAATAATATTAAAAATACGATCCCAATTAAAAGCTATTAATACTTTTTTATATATTTAACAGGGCCCGGTGGTTTCTCAGAATACATACTTTACAGGAAATCTTGGGAAGCAAAAGGATTTGGATTTACCTTACGTGGCCCAAATGATTTCAAATTAGATAAATTTTTTGCCGGTTCACCAGAATCATTCGACACTTACTACGGAGTAAGAAAAGACGGAAATATATATTTCAAAGACAATCAAGACTCTTTTGCAGATTACGTACTAAAGCATTGTGAATCTGGTGTTCATTTCGTTATGGCAGATGGAGGATTTTCAGTTGAGGGCCAAGAAAATATCCAAGAAATTCTTTCTAAGCAACTGTACTTATGTCAATGTTTAATGGCATTGAAAATCCTTCGGGTTAATGGCAGTTTTCTTTGCAAATTATTTGATTTATTCACGCCATTTAGTATAGGACTGATATTTTTAATGTATAAATGTTTTGATCAGATATCTATATTGAAGCCTAATAGTAGTAGACCGGCAAATTCAGAGCGTTATTTAGTTTGTAAGTGGAAGAAATCAAATACTGATTATGTTTGTAAATACTTGGACCACGTCAACGACATTTTAAACTTGGGTAAAGAAGATGTTTTAGAAATTGTCAACCAACAACACATTGTGTCTGATCAAATTTTCTTAGATTATATTGTTAAAAGTAATAATGACATTGGACAAAACCAAATTTTAGGTTTGAAAAAAATTGCAGCATATTGCAGAAACACCCAGCTTAAGGAAACTAGGCAGTCGGAAATCAGAAAACGTTGTCTTGAACTGTGGGGACTTCCAGATAAGCTTCGACAAGCCCCAGAGTCGAAAACCCAAGAGAAATTTCTGGAAGAAATTCTAGGTGATTGGAATGATAAGTTATTTTTTAACTCTTTGCCTACAGAATTACATACTACAGAATGCATCCAAAATAACATTAACAGTATATATGACTGGTATTTTGTGCCAGTTGGACGGGCCGAAACTAATATTAATGCTTGTAGTATGTTTCTATGTAAGTCTAAAGGTTGTTTACTACGATATAGTGACAGCAAAAAATGGGATCCCGTGGAATATATATTTGACATATCACCGAAATCAATATTTTATGGCGAAATTGTTTACGAGTATACTGGTGAAGGTAGAACTCAAACCAGAATATGCTCTTTACACATCATAGATGCGATCTTGCTTGGAGGAGTAGATATACGACGCTTAAAACTTTCAGAACGTTCTCGGTTATGCCAAAAATACTCTCTTAGTCTAAATAAGCCATTCAAAGACGGCAATTGTAGTCCTATTCGCAGCAAATGTTTATATGAACTAAAATATTTAAATAATTTTTTTAACGACATGAGGTCACATGTTTTGAAAGACAATTCAAACCGCCTAGGTTTAACTTTGTCATCTGAAAACAAATTTTTTGTTCCTGGGGGTATTATGTTGTTTTGCGAAATTTTTCATAATTTTTTCTCAAGTATGTCCCATTCAACTCATAAACTGTATTATTTCAATAAGACGACAAAAACATCTTTTTACAAAAATTGTATGCCAAATAATATACTAAATACTTTGTACGCTTCATTTAGAAATAGTTATCAGAGACGATTACTGTGGAAATGGACAAATTTAAAGCAAGTTGAAGAAAAATGTAATAATCGAGAAAAAAATTTGCTCTACCGAGAAGATTTCACTACATTTATATTCAGTAAAAAAAAAAATTGAAAAATAAATTGTATATTAAGCTTAATAGTAACTAAATGAAAATCATATAAAAGTGTTATATTGTGACATCTATACCTAAAATATTTTGCTTATAAGCCCAAGAAAATCTGCCTATGTATACTTTTTAAACTATTTCAATTTAGTGTATTTAACAAGGAGTGCATTTATTTAACGACTTGTAACTAAACCATTTGCAGATTTCTTTACTTTAACCCGCTTGTGTTTTTTATACTCAAAGTATTATTTTGAACAAACTGCCTCTAAAGCCGTTTGCCTTACTAAATGATAAAACGATAAGTATAAAGGTACATGTTAATACAAAATTGCATCGAGAGTACTTAATACCAAAATAATTGTTAAAGGCGTCCGATATGTCGTCAAATTCCGTTACTCAATTCAAAAATACTACATTTGAATTTAACTCTGGGAGCGAAATATTGTAACTATGCAACTCTAGTTGTAGGGTATAATTCATTTAAATTGCTCATTTACTTTCAATATTTTTTGTGCATTAGAAATTTAAGATTTAAATAATGGAAAGTTTATGGAATCTGAGCATTGATAAATAAAATACTTGTCAACAATAAATCAGAAAGCAAGAGCGAGCCTATACAATAAAACCAATTTGAATTTAAGAATAATCAACTTGTTTTTTACACTGCAAACAAAGTATAGAAATTTGTGTCCGACTATATTAGATAAAGATGCACCTCGAAGTCAAAGCTCGCACAACTATGTGTGCTTCTCAAAATGCAACTAGATTGGCAAGCAAAGTTACACAAAACTTTTAATACTAAGAAATAAGATTCGAATTTTATATTGTACAAGGAATCAAACAAAATACACGTAACACCAATATTTTATTTTTGATTGAAATATGTATATTTAACTATTTAAATTGCAACCCTGATTTTGTAAGAATGTGTATGTGTATAGCGACTAATGTTATTGATATGTAATTGAATCTTACTTCCTCATTAAACGTTGATTGAAAGTCACAATTTTTTTATTTGATTCTCGGACAAACTAAAATTCAGCAAATACATATGTATGTATGTATAATTAAAAGTTTAGCAGTTGTATTTGAGAAGGCAAATTAATTAAGAAATATTAGAAGTCTTTAAAATATTCCTTTTATTCCCAATAAATATTATAATTTTAAATTAGATACCAAAAATAATTAAGTCTTCTATCATAGCGTTCCAAATTACTATGGCTTATTTTCTCGTCTAGATAATATAACTGTTTTACACTACGTTAACCATGCTATCCACTTGGACGTGTCTTTGTGGTGATGTATTGTACTGCTGACTCCCACTATGGTTTTAGCTATACTCAGTTAAATTCCACTTCCATCGATTACTTAATATTGAAACTATTATTTCTATCTTCAACGCACTACTGGATATTTGCTTTGAATCATTAAAAAAATCGCAATCTATATCTAGGTGAATACAGAGAAACCTCTTCGTTCTTAAAGGTATACTGATTTAAATGCCTACCATCTACCTTATATGCATGTTTACACTAATGCAAAGGCCTTAGTTGCAAATCATTGACCTGATTTTTAAGTAAACTTACCCCACTTTTTCTTTGTAGAGAATAGAGAGAATATCCAGAAAATAGTTATCAACCTAAATAAAGTCATTTCTCTGTACATAAATCACATCACCCACGAGAAAGAGATTGTCTTATTGATGTTCTGTTGAGGCCTCTGTACTGCGACGGATCTTTTTCCCGAGGAGTACTTTTCCGGTTTTTCTATTTATACATATGGGGTGTTTTCCCGTTATGGGAGAGTGATCCATACGAGCACATATTATTAATTTCATAATGACTATGTACGTGCATAATATAAGATTAAGCTGTAACACATTTTTTAATACGGTAATGGTTCAAAACACTCCGAAAATTGTAAAATCATGTTTTGTATATTTGTGTACGTAGATTTGTAAAAATTAAAACAAAGTACTGAAATACAGAAAAAATTTAAAATCAACTTACTTCAATAAAAGTTTTGTTGCAACTTCCAAAAATTTGTGTGTCTAAACATAAAAAAATATTATAACAACCAAAAGAAGGAAGCGTAAGGTCGGTTGTTCGCCACAAAACGCCATTAAACGAAAATCTATAAATTGCTAAGCACTAGATTATGATATAGAACTGTAATTTGTTATCGCACTAACAAGGGTTTTTGCACTAACAAGGGGCAACTGCGGGTAAAACAGTCTGCCCTCTAAAATATTTAATGTACATATTTCCCAAACCATTCAAGCTAAAAAAAACTAAATTCGTCAAGACAAATTCTTTAAGCACTCCTACCGACACTGTAAAATGGGTGATTATAGCCTCGCCCACTCCCCATGTAACGGCACTGTTAAAAGCTACTTAAAGCGAGCTAAATCAGTAAATAATTACGCCAGAGACATTGAATTTTATCCCCGTAATGGTATGAGTGGACTAGGTAGGGGCCTGGTCGAATGTGGACGATGGGCGGGGCACCGCCTACTTTTCGGTGAAATCAGGTATCTTGGGACATGCTCGACCGATTTCAACCATATTCGGTATGCAACATTCTTCTCACATGTTACAGTGCGAAAATGGGCGAAATCGGACTACAACCACGCCTACTTCCCATATAGCACAACTTAAAATTCCATCTGATTCTTGGAAGATATATAATTGAAATTCAGATAGGATCGTTTCCTAATAATAGTATGGGTGCGTTCGAGCTACGTAATAATTGCAGCAGTACAGCAACTGTATTGCATATTTGCTGATACTCTGCTGATGTGCAGACAAAAATTTACTGTTGCCGATTATTTGCATAAATTGCGCGCAAAAAGTGACAAGAGAACGTGATGCTGTTGCAAGTGTTGCCAGAAATTCACGCAGAACGTGACACTCTGACAAATTTGCAACACTGCTGTCGTGAATGCCATTTCGAACGCATACTATTTCTGTATGTCAAAAATGGGTTGAATCGGGTCAATACTTCCTTTAGCCCCCATATACCTTATATAAAGCTTTTCAAACTTCCCTTTGTTTTTATACAACATATATCAGCCAATATGTGAGTTATCTCAATGAAAATAAGAAAGCGTGTGTTTTTAATATCTGTGTATCTTTGTGCCTAAAATGGATAACTAATATCAAAATTGTAAACGTCCGGATTATTTTACTTTATATGATTGGTGATGGTATGTGAGGTACTTTAATGACACCCTGGAAGCATTTTATTACTCTGCATTAGTACTTATAATTATTTTCGTTATTCTAACAATTTTTATATCGCATATGTTGATGATTAAGTATTATTTATATATAAAATTACTTCAAAATATGTTCTCGAGTATAACTGAGCAATGTCAAAATTAATGCAATCGGACCGTAACTTTCTCTATCCACAATATACTCCATAAAATTATTCCCGTCTTTCCGCTTGTATTTAAACCGTTCAGGTTGGTCAAAAAGTGTCACATTTTTATTGAAATTAAATGGATAAGATTTCTTAAAAATTATGTGGTTTAGCGCTAAGATAGAATGGAATTGGTCTACACTTAGTCTAAACGTCATATCCGTAATATAATGAATTCCAATCCGCAACATCAACTCAATAAATAAAATTTAGCCTCCTCGGTCGAATTACATTCACATACATACATACAGTGGATCACAGCTTATTTGATACAGCAGTCGATATAAATTTCGAATCCCAATATTTTTTAAACTGAAAGGAATATTGAAAAAATTTAAACGCTATATTTTAGAGTAAAGAATTTCATATATATAATGTACTTCATTTATTTAAAAAATATTTTATTTTCAACTATATGTACATAAAATTAAAATTACTGCTAAATTTCAGGTCACAGCTTATTTGATACAGATATTTTTCCATCACGAGGCGCCAGCTTGTCGCACCGCATAACTGTATTTTATTTTGCCATGCATATTGGCGTCGTTTATGATTAGTTTTAAATATTTTTTAGTGTGTTATAATAAACCATGGAGACAGCAAGTGCGTTTATATAAAAATGGGTCGTCGTACAACAATTGAGCAGCGTGAACTGGTCATAAACAAATTTAAAAAACGGTAAATCGGTTCGACAAATTGGTGAAATTGTGAACCTTAGTGCCTCCACTGTACAGCACATCATTGAGCGATATTTACATGAAAATCGAGTGGAAAGTAAAGGCAGAAGTGCGCCAAACAAAATTTTTAGTGCTTCCGAAGAGCGCTATATTGTTCGAAAAATCAAGGTAAACCCCAAACTATCAGCTCCAAAATTGGTTGTGGATGTTCATCAGGAATTAGGAAAATCATGTAGTGCTGAAACTATCCGCCGCGTACTCCGCGAACATGATTTTAATGGTCGAGTTGCTCGTAAGAAACCATTTATTAGTAAAAAAAACCAAATATGTCGACTAAAGTTCGCTCAGGAACATGTTTGTAAGACCCATGATTTTTGGAACACGGTTATATTTTCAGACGAGTCGAAATTCAATATTTTTGGGTCCGACGGCATGTCTTACGTTTGGCGAAAAAAGAATAGAGAGCTAAATAAGGAGAACCTAAGAGCTACAGTGAAACATGGCGGTGGAAGTGTGATGGTTTGGGGTTGTATGTCCTCAGCCGGTGTAGGAAATTTGGAGTTTATTGAAGGGACAATGGACAAAAATATGTACCTTAATATCCTGAGAAGTAATTTGCTGCAAAGTGCCGAGAATCTTGGTATAAAAGAAAAATTCCGCTTTTATCAAGATAACGACCCAAAACACAAAGCAGCAGTCGTTCAATCCTGGCTCATATGGAACTGTCCCCATTTGATGACACCCCCGGCACAGTCACCTGATATGAATGTTATTGAAAATTTGTGGGCTTTATTAGACAAAAACATTCGAAGCCACAAAATTTCGAACAAAGAGGAATTGAAAAGGGCGCTACTAGAGGAATGGCAGAAAATTACCCTAGAAACCACACAAAAGTTGGTCCATTCAATGCCAACCAGGATCCAGGCTCTTGTTAAGGCGAAAGGCTTTCACACAAAATATTAAGAATTTAAGATTGAAAGTGATTTGTTTTTGTTATTTTAGAAAGAATTGAACTGTATCAAATAAGCTGTGACCTGAAATTTAGCAGTAATTTTAATTTTATATACATATATTTGAAAATAAAATATTTTTTAAATAAATGAAGGACATTATATATATGAAATTCTTTACTCTAAAATATAGCGTTTAAATTTTTTCAAAATTCCTTTCAGTTTAGAAAATATTGGGATTCGAAATTTATATCGACTGCTGTATCAAATAAGCTGGGACTCACTGTATATCTTATTTAAAAATGTTTTTAATATAAATTTAGGTGAGGCAAACTAAAATATAGCAATAAAACTAATTCAAAGTTTATGGCCTACCATATTAATCAAGAAGATATCAAATTTTATTGTAATTTATCTACGATTTAATCGATTAATTGATTTTTAATTTTCACACTGTCGATAGGGGTGCTAAAAAGATTTGTCCTAAATGAATTTGCTTATAAAAACCTTAGCGGTGTAGAAGACATGTACATTTAATCTGTCGAAGGGCGGGGTCACGTCCACTTTTTCTAAAAACTTTAAACTGTCAATTCGTTATAGCAAATAACAGCTTTATATCTTATTGGAGGGCTTAGTTATGGCAATTTAATGGTTTTCGATTAATGGCGTGACAATGGTCCGATTACGCCCATCTACAATACCAACTTTCTTATGGCTAAGAAAGATGTGTACCAAGTTTTATCAAGATATCTCAATCTTTGCTCAAGTTACAGCTTGCACAGACGGACGGACGAACGGACAGACAGTTACCCGGATTTCAACTCGTCTCTTCATCTTGCTCATTTATATGTACATATTACATTAAGATCAGAAAGTTTCCGGAAATTGTTGGCCCACAATTACGGCCGTTTACGACAGATGTTTACGCTTTTCTGACCTTTTGTCGCGTTGGAACG